GGTGTGTCAGAACATTATATAGCTTATGCTGTTGTGTAGGCTATAGTGGGGTATCCCATAGGGGGTACAACCCAATTAGGGTTTCCTATATGTACTCACTTCATTCATAGTTCATTCATTCGCGTTCTCCTTCCCACATCTCGGACGGCGTAGGATATCGATTTTCTCTGTGAGCGCGAGAATTTTGTTCAAGTTTGATAGCCCGCGTAGCATGATCTCGTACGAGATGTCTGGCTTCAGTCCGCCGACGCAACGGTCCACCCGCTACGCGTCGTGCATATAGCCGACTTGCTCGCACACAGCGAGAAAAATGCTGGTATAGTCTTGAACCGACCCGAGCTGCCGCCAAGTGCGCAGTTTCTGACGCGCCGAAATTGAAGTTGCGATCGGCTCGAAGCACGCATGAAGCCACACGCACCACGCATCCTACGTGCTGTACTAGGCGGTTTTGCAAAGCAAACTCCAGGTGACGGTTGGACTTGTGGGCCCTTCCTTTTGCGACTGCGGCTCGTAGGCGTGTGGCGACGTCACGATGACTCGCCACAAATCCATGGCGGGGCCCTTCAGCAGCAAAACAGCATATCGAATCTTCTCTACGTCCAACTCGACGTAATTTGCGTCGAAGAAGACGTTCATCGTGAAGATCTACGATTGAACCGTCGGACCTCTGCGTTGACTAGGATCGAAGCAGGGCGGGCGCTGTGGTTTGAGCGGCATCGGTGCGATGATGTCGTTGTTGCCTCTCGTTGATGCAAACTTCACGTGCCGTCGAGCTTCGCGAGGCCCTTGCGTGCTTGGTGCGGCCCTGCTACTCTTCATGCCAGGCATCGACTGGGCGGCGCCATCATTGTCTGCGCTTGTGCGTTGTCCCACGCTGTCGTGTTGTGACGGTGTGCCGGACGAGATGACAATTGGCTCATTCGATTGCACAGATGCTTGTGTTGGTGCTGGTGCATTCGCCGTTGATTGCTGGCGGGCGAAGTCGCGTTCCACCGTGAGTGTTGCAATTTTGAGCGCCGAATCCTCGAGTTGGCGCATGAGACAGACGTCGCGAGGGTGAATTCGGCCATGGCGGGGGTGTCGGGCAAGCTCAGCGAGAGCCTCAGTCATGGCCGTGCGTGCTTTCAAGAGAGCACTTCGAACGGCGGTGCCTGAACGCTGAGAGACCGTCTACCCCCTCCAAAATTTGAGATAGTGGGGAAGCGAAGGTGTGGGTGCGGTCCCAGAAGAGATCGTAGGCTCTGGATACCAAGTGTTACAAGTGCAATTGAGTGAGCGAGCGAGGATTGCACTATCGAAGCAAAAACAGTACATTGAGCAAAGGCTTGAGCGAAGAATATATAGCGAAGCTAGCGAGGTAACGGTAATGCATGAAAATGGGGTGCGCTACGGGCCTAGCGCCGAGGCTGGGAATTGTTGAGGCAGCGTTCTAGAGCGTAGGTTACCAACCGAACTGTGAGGTTGGGTCGCGTCGTGAACAGTGGCAGGAACAGTAGGGTGCTGTTCGGGAGGAGGTGAAATGAGGGGGAAACCATCACTAAATAAGCTAGAAAGTAGGTTCGGAAGCCCAAAAATCGCGTGCGACCCCCATGCGACCTCCGTCGTGACCAAACCTCACAGTTTGGAAACATCAACATCAGCAACCACTCATCAGCGGCTCGAGATACCGATCTGCCGCCCATACCGCCTATTGACTGAACAGTAATCACAGGCAAAATTGTGGTGACTTTCCGCTCGCCATGCTACCACGAGCGCAAGATGAGTAATATTTTCCTGGGTAAACTTTCTGGGCAGCATAGAGTGGTTCAGAATGGTTTAGAGATTTTCTTTTGAGAAGGGAAATGGAGCAGGGATGGGATGTTCCGGAGGAGGTGGTTGTGATAGAGCGGCGTGATATTTGACTTCGATTTCGTTGTGATTTTTGCACAGATTACGTTGTCTTTTTTGCCCAACATGCAGCGTTGACCATGCAAATCCCTGTCCGTTTCTCCAGCTGTCAACACTGTACAGATTTCGGTCAACACCTTATAGTGTTCCAAGTGGGTGTTTGTCCGTATCTCGATGAAGGCTTGGTGCCATACCTATTACCGACTTTGTGCTCATTCTCATTTCTAGGCCTCCCGAACATCACCTAAGCGAGGAGAGTGTCGTGAGCGGTAACAAAGCACTGTTGGGAACTGTTGGCGGGAAGAGCGCGAAGTAAGGAAAAGGAATTTTCCTTACAACGAGTCAACCAACTAACTAGGGTTTTTAGTTACGGCGGAAGAGGTACTTCCGAACCTGCGCTTTCTAGGGACCTTCTTCTCTACCTGCACACAGTTTCCCAGGTTTCGCGGCCCAGACATAAGACTTATTGCGCTAAGACAGAACTCGATTCCACATTTACCCACGTGTCATCATTTTGGTGCACAGCACTATTTTGCCTTTCTATCCGCACTAAACTAAATCCCTCTCGGCTGGCAAGTGTAAGGGGCATCAACCCTAAACACCCTGCGACTAAGTGTTTAGGGTTGATGCCAAACTAAATCCCTCTTGGCTTGCATGCTAATGTATGGCATCAACCCGAAACACCTTGTCGCGTGGTATTTAGGGTTGATGCCCTTGAAAACTTCCCATCTGAGAAGGGTTTAGTTTTGAGCTTGCTGGCAGAAGAAATCCGATGAGAGCAGTGCTTGCGTGACGTGCGGAGAAGCCGAGTTCTGTGTTAGCTCAATAACTCTTCCTCCTCAGAAGCGGATCAGCGGAAAGTATGCGCAAGTTGAGATGAAAGTCCCTTGAAAGAAATTAAGCTACAGTAAGCCTTCCGGGAAAACTAAAAACCCAACTAACTACTCCCTCATTCTCGGCTTCCGCACAATTGGGAGCCCTGGCTACAGTGCGTACTGTTGCTTGGACCCTAGCAATCTGGTGCATGGAGCCAAACCCTAGGTAGGTGGCGGGCAAGTGCACTCCATTAGGAACGGTATACAACGGTATATAAAAATAAAATTGCTTTTGCGTACAGTTGAGTGCGGCAAATGTGCTTACATGGTATGTTCTTGGACCACTTTGGACGCATTGATGTCATTAGGGCGTGTCCAGCGCGTACGTTTACAGGTACTATACAGTTCAATCGTCGAGGTGAGAAAAGATATCAAGCGGTGCACAGCGGTTTTAAAATTGCACCGTTTTGAACCTGGACGCACTACAGATTTCCGCACTGGACGAACTGTAATGTACGGATAATGTACGCACTGGACCCGCCCTTACAGCCGGCATGTTCATGTGGCGAATGTCGTGTGGCGAGAATGAGGGTGTACTCGTGCGATCACATACAGGAAGCTACATGTGGCCCCAGGTCAGCTCATATCTATGTTTTGGGTTTCCATTATGGATTAAGTGCGATACAAAGTTGTGGTAGTTAAAACCCGAAGCCTGAATTACAAAAACTGAGTCAACGCTTGGTTTGGTAGGTCTGGGGTTTGGGCAAAATGAGGTGCGAAGGAATTGCGAAAGGTGGCAGGTTAGCGAAACATGATGATGCGACTCTCCCATGAGGCAAACAGTTCGCATGCAACCCGCTAACCAACCTCCGAGAGCGAGAGCAGAGCAAGAAAATCGGCGTGACAGAACAAGCTAACTCATTCACTCGCTTTTAGAATACCACCATCACACGCCTGCTAGGGATTTTTTGTGAACACAATTCACACAACCAGAATTAGTAGGTGCAGCGCGTATACGCAACGGAAGGGAAACGCAGGCGCCAGATGCGAGTATGAAGCACGGAGAAAATGGTCGTGAGGAGATGAGAAATTAGCGCTTTGCCGACCTCCGCCCACCTCCCTCGCCCCGCCCGTCGCCCTCGCCGCATCCCCGCCCGTCGCCCTCGTTCCTAAGCCCGCCCTCGCTTCTCCCATCCCGTCGACCTCGCTTCCCTCGCCCGTCGACCTCGCTTCCCTCGCCCGTCGCTCTCGCTTTCCCCGCCTACCACCCTCGCCTCGCCCGTCGCCCTCGCCGCCTCCCCGCTCCTCGCCTTCGGTTCCTCCGCCCGTCGCCCTCGCTTCCCCTCTTCATCGCTCGCCCTGTCAACCTTTCCTCTCCCACCTGTCGCTGCGTCGACGTCGTTCTCATTCCCGCCGCCGACTCTTCATCGATCTTCCATCTTATTCGCCCTCTCTTCCTCTCCCCGTCGCCCATGCCCATTCCCCTCTCTCGCATCGACGTCCTGGTTCTCCACCCTGCCCTAGTTTCCCCCCCTGATTGCTCTCAGTTCCCCCACCTGATTGCGCTTTGTTTCCCCCACCTGATTGCGCTTTGTTTCCCCCACCTGATTGCGCTTTGTTTCCCCCCCTGATTGCGCTTTGTTCCCCCCCCCTGATTGCGCTCAGTTTCCCCCCTTCATTGCGCTCAGTTTCCCCCCTTCATTGCGCTCAGTTTCCCCCCTTCATTGCACTCAGTTTCCCCCCTTCATTGCGCTCAGTTTCCCCCCTTCATTGCACTCAGTTTCCCCCCTTCGTTGCGCTCAGTTTCCTTCATGAATGTCCTCCGTCACCCCCCTGCGTACCCTCCCCCCTTTCCTATCATCCCTTCACCCTCTCCCCTCTCTTTCTATCTCTATTGATCCCTCCCTCCTCTCTCTCCCTCATGTCCCCCCTCCAACCCCATATTCCTTTCCTTCCCCTCATGTCTCCCTTTTCTTCCCCCCAGGTCCCCACAATACGCTCTTGATTTCCCGCCTTGCATGCCCTTATCTTCACCTACCGCTTCCTCTCCTTCCCCCCCCTGCTTCCACTCTTTTTCTTACTTGCTTCCCCTCGTTTGCCCCCTACTTACCCTCTTTTGCCACCTTTTTCCCCGTTTTTTTTTTCCCTGGTTCCCCTGTTCCCCCCCCCTGCTTCCCCTGTTTCCCCGCCCTGCTTGCCTTGCGCGCAGTCTAGGCCAGCATCCTTCCCGCCTACCCTCTTCTCCCTGTTCCACTCTCTTCTTAGCGCCTCTCTCTCTCCTACTCCCGTATCCCCTATCTACTGCCTTCGCCAAGCCTGACTGTCCTCCTCTCTTCCCCCTCTCCTCTCTTCCCCCTCTCCTCTCTTCCCCCTGTCCTCCTCTCTTCCCCCTATCCTCCTCTCTTCCCTCTCTCCTCTCTTCCCCCTGTCCTCCTCTCTTCCCCCTGTCTTCCTCTCTTCCCCCTGTCCTCCTCCCTTCCCCTTGTCCTCCTCTCTTCCCCCTGTCCTCCTCTCTTCCCACTGTCCTCCTCTCTTCCCCCTCTCCCCCTCTCTTCCCCCTCTCCTCCTCCTCATCCCTTCCCCCCCACTCTCATCCCTTCCTTCCCACTCTCATTCCTTCCTCCCCTCTCTCATCCAGTCCTTCACACATTCCCTCTCATTGTGAGCTATGCTTTGCAGCATGGAGCAACCAAGTACGATTTGATTTCATTTGAAGCTACAGTGTGCCCCCATTGTGACATCCAACGGCATATGACAACATCTTGATACTGTACTCAAGTTGCGTTTCATGCTGCTGTTATGGTAGCTTCTGTTAGTTTTGTTTGTAACCTTGTACAGTAGAACAGTAAACAAATCTTTTAGACCCATGCATATGTTATATGAGATGTAAATACACATGACATGAGCGTGCCGTACTAGGATACAAGACAAGCACAAGCCTCTGGGCCTTAGAGATGCTGAAAACAGGAGCAAGCGGAGGTGGCACGTCCATGCAGGGCGTCTGGGCCTCTGGGACGTACCGGTAGTGTGGGTGACGGGAGGGAATGGGGGCGGGCAATGGGAAGAGAGTGAGCGCGGGTGGGCGGAAGCAAGAAGGGAGGGAGTGATGAAGGATGTGAGGGGGGGCGGAAGGGGGGAATGCAGGAAGGGAGGGAGTGATGAAGGGAGGAAGAGGGGTCGGGAGGACAGGGGGAAGGGATCCCTGCAGCACCACGTAGGCCTCTGCTGCGCGACTCTGCCCGCCGCCATCCGCCCACAGCGCCCCAAGCAGCTCCCGGGTGCACACAAGGCCGAGGACAGTGTGGGAAACACCTGGAGGAGAGGGAGAGAGGATCAGATGGGGGAAGGACGGATGGGGAGACGATCAGATGGGGAGAGGACGGATTGGGAGAGGACGGATGGGGAGAGGACGGATGGGGAGAGGACGGATGGGGAGAGGACGGATGGGGAGAGGACGGATAGGGAGAGGAGGGACGGGGAGAGGAGGGATGGGGAGGTGGAGGAGATAAAGTGAGGAGGGGACAAGGGGGACGGAGGGAAGTAGGGTGCGCGACAAGCGGGGTTTGCGCGGAATGGGGTGGGGCGGAATGGGGGGAGGCGGAATGGGGTGAGGCGGAATGGGATGGGGCGGAATGGGGTGGGGCGGAATGGGGCGAGGTGGAATGGGGGGAGGGAGAAGCACGGCGGGAGTGGCGGGGCGAGTGGAAAGGGAGGAGGGAGAGGAGAGAGAGCAGGGTAAGGAATGAGAGGAGAGGGGAGAGGGAGAGGAAGACCAGAGAAGTGATGGACGGGGAGGTGAGGGATGGGGAGATGAGGGATGGAGAGGTGAGGGATGGGGAGATGAGGGATGGCGTGATGATGGCATGGCGGAAATGCGAAGAGTCACTCTACAACGGTAGTGAGCTAGACTACGGGGGTTGGCACGAACTACTAGAGGTGATCGTAGCTTTGCTTGGTTCCTTAGTGCTTGCACATTCACGGGAGGAATCGGCAAGAGTTTCCACTAGGCAAAGTCGAAATTCCTGAATGATTGAACAAGCAATGACAGAATGACTACATCAGGCACCTAGCAATCCTGCAGCTAGCCTGGTCGACCGCCAGCACAGCTCGGTCGACCGCCTGCCAGCGTTGCGTAGAGGAGCCGCGCCAGCACTGCAGAAAGGCGACCTGCCAACAGAGCAGGTCGACGGCGTGTCAACGCTGCAGCAGAGCGGCTGTCCAGCGTTGCCCCGTAGAACACAGCAGTGTGCACGCTCGCAGGTGCGCGCAGACGATTGGCCCGACTTGCCTCGCTGGGCATCCGTCGGCAGTTGTCTGCGCCTGACGAGCCACATCGACTCCGAGATACCAGCCCGCAGTCGCCTGCGCCATCGCAACCTCGACGACGTTCGCGTGCCTCCGCAGAACTCGTCGAGCAGGTTACCCGGTCGACCCGGTCGACCACCAGGTGCTTTCAGTCGACCACCACTGCTTCTGGTCGACCACCAGGTTCCTCTGGTCGACCACCAGGTGCCTCTGGTCGACCGCAACTCCCGTCCAGCTACCCCCTGGTCGACGGACCCCTTCCGACTGCTCTGTCAACCTCCCGGTCGAGCAGCAGGTCGACGGGATGCTCCGGAGACCTCTCGGTCGAACGGCAGGTCGACGGGATGCTCCGGAGACCTCCCGGTCGAACGGCAGGTCGACGGGATGCTCCGGAGACCTCCCGGTCGAACGGCAGGTCGACGGGATGCTCCGGAGACCTCCCGGTCGAACTGCAGGTCCTGGTCGACGTCCCACCCGTTGCCCAGACCAGTCAGTTGCAGCTGTCGAGCTCCCTGGTCGACAGCAACACCACAGCGGTTCCCTGCAGCTCGACGAAGCCTGTCGAGCAGCTCTCCCACTGTGAACGGTCGGCTGCTACTCCCGTACATCCGACCAAGTCGTCGGCGTTGCCCAAGCGAGGGCGGGGCCAACACTCCATTCCTGTTAACACTCCCCTGCCGCGCTCACGCTTGGGCCTCAAGCCCACACGGCAGTAATCCACGGAGAAAACTTGTCCTCGGCGTGCACCCCACACACAGCACGCCGTCACCGCACCAGCCGTGCAGAAGGGCACGGCACCTACTGCTGCACCTCATCGTCGCCGTCGCCGACGTCGGCCAGACGAACTTGGCCGATGGCGACAGAGCACCGGTTGAAAGCCGGAAAATGCAACGCCTTCGTCAGGAAGTCCGCCGGCTGCTCGGTGGTCGGGATGTACTTCAGCACGAACTTCCCGCGCCTCACCATGTGCTGTAGCCAGGCGTAGCGTTGCTCCATGTGCTTGAGATTGCCCGTCAGCCCCAAGCCCTCAGCGACCGTGATTGCCGACTGGTTGTCGACGCGGAGGATGGTCAGCTTCCCAGCGTCGAGCAGCTTGAATTCCGCAAGAAGGAAACGAAGTCGGCGTCCCTCCTTGCCTGCATCCGTGGCCGCCACATACTCCGACTCGGTCGACGACAATGTCGCGCACTTGATGCGCGAGCTCGACCAGGAGATGGCGGCCCCTCCGTAGACGAACACGTAGCCTCCCGTGCTCGTCCGGTTCTGCTTGTCGCCCGCGTCGTCGGCATCGACGTGGCCGATCAGCTCCAACGATCCTGGTCCACCGCCGAACTCTAGGGCGGTGTCGCGGGTGTCGGCGAGGTATGCGAGGCAGCGGTCGACCTCGCGCCAATGCTGGTCGCTCCTCACCGTGAGGCCGCTCCCCAGCTTGCTGCAGGCGAACGCGATGTCCGGCCTCGTCGTCGTCGCTGCGAACTGCAGCGAGCCGACCTTCTGCCGGTACTCCTCCTCCTCGCGCTCCTGAGCCTCCTCGTCGTCGAACGTCAGCTGAGCGTAGGCGTCGACCGAGACCGGTGTCTTCGGGAATCGACCGCCTTGCTCCTCGTCGATGAAGCGCCTGCGCAGCTTGTCGGCGTAGCCCTGCTGGTGCAGCCACAGCTTCCTGGCCGGCCTGTCGCGCACGATCTCCAGCCCAAGGTACTTCACCACCGGCGAGGTCTCACGCAGCTCGAAGGCGGCCTCCAGCAGCTCCTTGAGCTCCTTCAGCATCACGGTGCTGCTGCTGGCGGCGAGCAGGTCGTCGACGTAGACCAGCACCCAGCAGGTCACTCCGTCGTCGCCGGCCTTGAAGTAGAGCGCCTCGTCGACCTGGCTCTTCTTCCAGCCAGCGCCCAGCAGCACACTGTCGAGAGCCCTGTACCACAGTAGCGGCGACTGCTTCAGCCCGTAGAGGCTCTTCAGCAGCTTGCACACCCGGCCGGTCCCGTCGTCGAAGTAGTCCGGCCGGTACATGTAGAGCACCCTGTCGAGCTTGCTCTGCAAGAAAGCGTTCTTCATGTCGAGCTGCATCAGGTGGACGTCGAGAACGGCGACGATGCTGAGGAAGATCCTCAGCGTGACGTAGCTGCTCACCGGCGAGTACGTCTCGTCGTAGTCGGCACCATACACCTGCGTGAAGCCCTTCACGACCAGCCTCGCCTTCTCGCGCTCGACGGTGTCGTCGATGCGGTACTTGGTCATCAGCACCCACCGGTTCTTCATGATGTTCACCCCGCGTGGGCGTTCGACCAGCTCCCAAGTCCCCATGCGGATGAGGCTGCGGATCTCTTCTTCCATGGCGGCCTTCACCGCCTCGCCCTTCCAGCTCGACAGCGCCTCCTTCACCGCCATCGTGGCGATGTCCCAGCGGTGTTCGGGGTCGGCATGCACGTCAGGGTCGAGCTCCGGCAGGTCTTCATCCTCCTCGGCGTCGTCGTACAACAGGTCGTCGTCGATCTCATCGAACACCGTGGTGAAGGCGGCTGGCGGTAGGCAGGCGTGGAAGCTCAGCCGCTCCGGTGGCCGTCGAACTCGACCTGTGCGTCGCAACTCAGGCGTCGTGATCGGCACTTCCACTACGTCGCTGTCGGTGGACTCCTCACCCGCCGACTGCTCCCCTTCCTCGTCGACGTCCTCGCTGTCGACCAGCTGCTTCGATCCTTCGACCGGTTGCTCGTCTGCTGCTGACTTCGACAGCTCCCCTGTCGACCGCCCCGGCTGCTGCTCCCCTGTCGGCTGCACTGCTGCTGTTTTCTCCTGTTCAACTAGCTCCCCAGTCTGCTGCTCCCATGTCGTCAACGGCTTCCCATCCTGGTCGACGAGCTTGGCGCCTTGTCGACCGCTGGCGATGCCACGGGCCGGCGCCACAGGCGACGCCTCAAGGCTCCCCTCATTGTCGGTGGTCGACACAGGCCGATCTGCGACGGGGAACGGAGGAGCAAGAGCAGGGGGAGGGGGAAGAACCGCCACAACATCCTCTTCAGCAGGCTCGTCGACATCGGCGAGCAACGGAACCGTCGCCGTCGAGGTGTCCGTCGGTGGGTGCGCCTGCGTCCGCCCTGACGCCGGCCCATACTTCGCCTTCCACACCTCCAGCGACAGCGTCTCGTAGAAGATCACCTCGACCGACGCGACCACCCGGTTGTCGGTCAGGTCGAGCACCTCCCAGCCCTTGCTCTCCGACGACACACCCAGGTGAAGTCCCCAGCGAGCCTTCGGCGCCAGCTTCCCACCGCGCTGCTGCTCGGGAACCATGCAGCCCCACACCCGCGCAAGCGTAAGGTCGGGCTTCGTCCCGGTCAGCAGCTGGTACGGAGTCGTCCCCGGCGGCGCCGTCGACCGCTCCAAGCAGTTGCGCACCCAGACGGCTTGTCGTAGAGCAAGGTGCCACCAGTGGTGCTGCACGCCCGTGTGCAGCAGCATCGTCCGCACGGACTCGACGACCGTGCGCATCTCCCGCTCAGCCATTCCATTCTGCTGCGGAGTGTAGGGGCACGTCAGGTCGTGGACGATGCCCTTCCTGACGACAAAGTCGGTGAACGCCTTCCCGAGGAACTCCCCTCCTCGATCGGAGCGAAGCGACAGCACCGACTTCTTCGTCTGCCGTTCCACCAGCACTAGCCACCGCTGGAACTCCCGCAGCACGTCGCTCTTCTGAGCGACCGGCATTGCCCATACAAATCGAGTATGGCGATCCTTCAGCAGCAGGAAGTACAAGCTGCCATCCTTGGCAGCCACCCGAAATGGCCCGCACAAGTCAATATGCACGACAGCCAGCGCATCCGCTGCGTCCGAGCCCTTGGTGGGGAAGGTGTGTCGCGCCAGCTTTCCTCCGACGCACGAGACACACGGCAGGTCTGCTCCGGTCGACGACGTGATGTCGAGCCCAGTAGCAACACCATGCTTCGCCGAGCTCTTGATCGTGTCGACGCTGACGTGGGCGAGCCGCGCATGCATCCTATCGGGGGTCGTCTTCGTCGCCGAGACGATCGTCCGCAGAGCCACCACCTCGGTCGACTGCGACTGCGTCGAGCAGGGGCGAAGGTCGGTGCAGAGGACTCGTCCGGTGTAGCGTGCTCGACCGAGCACCTCCCCGGTCGCGGCGACGAGCATCATCTCGTCGCCATCGCCCTGCAGCAGCACCCCGCTCTCCTTCAGCTGGCCAGCAGACAGCAGGTTCGCCTGCACGCCCGGAACGTAGAGTACGTCGGGGATGAGGACCCGCTTCCCGGCCTCCCCTTGCAGAGCGACGGTTCCGCGACCCTCGACAGGCTGCAATGCCCCGTTGAACCCACGTACGTGCTTCACCCCGTCGCTCGGCCCCATGTCGACGAAGACCGACTTCGTCCCCATCAGGTGGTGGGAGCACCCGCTGTCGAGCAGCACCGCCATCGGGTTGGCCTGCACAGCTGCCGCCACTGCCTGGAAGTCCTCGCCAGCCTCCGGCGCCAGCGAGACCGTCGGCTCCACGACGCCGACCATCGAGCACGACGCCTCCCCGTCGCCTCGGCTCTTGCCGCTGGAGCTGTCGACGTCCTTCGTCGACGACGTCTTCTTCGACGCTTGCTTCTCCTTGCGCGGCTTCTCATCGCGACGGGGGCGACGACTGGCCGATCGACCACGACCTCCCTTGATGTCGTCCTCGTCGCTGTCATCGCGGTCGGGGCACTCGAAGGAGAGATGGTCGGGGTCGCCGCAGATCCAGCACTCCCGCCGTCGACCACCACCTCGTCGACCCTTGTCCCGCGTCGACCGCTTCTCGTCGACGTCCTTCGTCGACCGCCCACCTCCGCTACCACCTCCGCCCGGCTTCCCGCGCTGCCCTTGCTGTTGATTCAGCTTCGTCGATGCAGCGTAGTTTGCCTGCGGAAGGAGCTCTGTGGGCTGTTCGGCCTCCTGCATCGCCTCGTCTTGAAGAATGTAGCTGGTGATGGAGTCCTCGTCGAGGGACTCACGCGTGCCGGGCACCATTATCATCCTCTTCATGAGATTGTAGCTGCGCGGCAAGCCCTTGACGATATGGGTGATGTAGGACGCCGTCGAGTATTCGGTGCCCGCCATCCGCATCTCAGCCAGGATCCGTCGAGCACGGTTGCAGTAATCCGTCGCCGACTCCTGCTCGCCCATCCGAATGTGAGTCATCTTCTCCTCCAGCTGCCCGATGTATAGGTCGTCCCTGGCCTGGTACGTCGACATGATGAAGCGCCATGCCTGGTGACCAGCATCCAGTCGCTCACGACAGCTCCTGAGCGCTAGCTGCACCACCGGCGAGCAGCACCTCGAGATGTCCATGAAGGTGAGCAGGTGAGCAGAACGAAAATCCCCGCGCAGCTCGACATCCTCCTCGGGCGGAATTGGCACGGTGCCGTCGGCGAAGCCCTTCAGCCCGGCGACCTCCAGCTGAGGTTCTATCGACTCCCTCCAGGTGATGAGGTCTCGTCGACCTTGCAGCGGTGCGACGGTGATCCGGTCCGGCGAGAATTTGAAGTAGCCATACGCCGGTGCAATCCCGCCTGCAGTCACATGCGTCGTCGCGGACAGCCCTCCACCGCTTCGTAGAGGAGAGCGACGTCGAACATCGACGCCGGCACGCGAGCTGCGTGCAGCCGCCGTCGACCGCTGCACTCGCGCCTGGATTCCGTCGACACCACCGTCGACCTTGTTCACCCCTCTCCGCCTCGTGCCTTCGCTGCCGCTGACTCGTGCACCACCGTCGACCTCGTCGTCGACGCCACCTTCGTTGCGCACCGGTCGAGGAGAAGCAGGACGGGAAGGGTGTTCCGTCGCCCACTGCGACCGGATGCCCAACTCGGCGATCACCAAGGGGATCGTCCCGTACTCGCCATCCGCGTGGCGTCTCCTTGCGTCAGCCAAACGTGCCTCCAAGGTGTCCGCTACGCCCGCATCAACTACGGGGTCGACCATGGCGACTATCGCTGCTGCCGGCCTACGAACGACTTAGTGGGTGCAAAAGTCGGTTCCTATCTGAAGGTATTTGCGGGGCCGTCCACGCTCACCGCACCATGCGAAGAGTCACTCTACAACGGTAGTGAGCTAGACTACGGGGGTTGGCACGAACTACTAAAGGTGATCGTAGCTTTGCTTGGTTCCTTAGTGCTTGGCATTCACGGGAGGAATCGGCAAGAGTTTCCACAAGGCAAAGTCGAAATTCCAGAATGATTGAACAAGCAATGACAGAATGACTACATCAAGCACCTAGCAATCCTGCAGCTGCCTGGTCGACCGCCAGCACAGCTCGGTCGACCGCCTGCCAGCGTTGCGTAGAGGAGCCGCGCCAGCACTGCAGAAAGGCGACCTACCAACAGAGCAGGTCGACGGCGTGCCAACGCTGCAGCAGAGCGGCTGTCCAGCGTTGCCCCGTAGAACACAGCAGTGTGCACGCTCGCAGGTGCGCGCAGACGATTGGCCCGACTTGCCTCGCTGGGCATTCGTCGGCAGTTGTCTGCGCCTGACGAGCCACATCGACTCCGAGATACCAGCCCGCAGTCGCCTGCGCCATCGCAACCTCGACGACGTTCGCGTGCCTCCGCAGAACTCGTCGAGCAGGTTACCCGGTCGACCCGGTCGACCACCAGGTGCTTTCGGTCGACCACCACTGCTTCTGGTCGACCACCAGGTTCCTCTGGTCGACCACCAGGTGCCTCTGGTCGACCGCAACTCCCGTCGAGCTACCCCCTGGTCGACGGACCCCTTCCGACTGCTCTGTCGACCTCCCGGTCGAGCAGCAGGTCGACGGGATGCTCCGGAGACCTCCCGGTCGAACGGCAGGTCGACGGGATGCTCCGGAGACCTCCCGGTCGAACGGCAGGTCGACAGGATGCTCCGGAGACCTCCCGGTCGAACGGCAGGTCGACGGGATGCTCCGGAGACCTCCCGGTCGAACTGCAGGTCCTGGTCGACGTCCCACCCGTCGCCCAGACCAGTCAGTTGCAGCTGTCGAGCTCCCTGGTCGACAGCAACACCACAGCGGTTCCCTGCAGCTCGACGAAGCCTGTCGAGCAGCTCTCCCACTGTGAACGGTCGGCTGCTACTCCCGTGCATCCGACCAAGTCGTCGGCGTTGCCCAAGCGAGGGCAGGGCCAACACTCCATTCCTGTTAACAAGAAAGGGGTGGGGCGGAATGGAGTGGGGCGGAATGGGGTGGGGCGGATTGGGGAGATGGGGAAGGGGAGATGGGGGATGAGGAGATGAGGGATGGGGAGATGAGGGATGAGGAGATGAGGGATGGGGAGATGAGGGATGGGGAGGTGTCGGATGGGGAGGTGTCGGATGGGGAGGAGAGGGATGGGGAGGTGAGTGGTGGGGAGATGAGGGATGGGGAGATGAGGGAAGGGGAGATGAGGGATGAGGAGATGAGGGAAGGGGAGATGAGGGATGAGGATGTGAGGCATGGGGAGGAGAGGGAAGGGGAGTTGGGGGATGGGGAGATGAGGGATGGGGAGGGGAGGGATGGGAAGGCGAGGGATGGGGAGATCAGGGATGGGGAGGTGGAATGGGGTGAGGCGGAATGGGGTGAGGCGGAATGGAGTGATCGTTCGAGATGAGGAGATGAGGCATGGGGTGGGGAGGCATGGGGAGATGAGGGAAGGGGAGGTGAGGAATGGGGAGATGCGGGATGGTCAGATGAGGGATGGGGAGATGCAAGATGGGGAGCAAAGGCAAGTGGGGTGAGGGATGAGGAGATGAGGGATGGGGATGGGAAGAGGAGAGATGGGGGGTGGAGGGAGCGTTGGAGGAGGGATGGGGAGAGGAGGAGATGGGATGACGATACGAAAAGAGAGGACGTGCGGTCGTGATTTGGGAGAACGGGAAGAGATGGAAAGGGAGAGCGAAGGCGCCAGTGTGCGATGGGAGGGAATCGGCCGTGCGCCCCAAGCGGGGTGTGGTGGAAGGGAATGCGCGAAGGCGACAGGAAGGTCACGAGCGCTAACGACGGAAGGGAGAGCGCGCACACCACGGAAGGGAGTGCGCGCACACGACCGTAGGGAGAGCGCGTGGGCGACGGAGGTAGTGCGCGTGGGCGACGGAAGTGGAGCTACCGAGCGCGACAGAGGGGAGTGAGCTTGGCAACAGAGGGGAGTGTGCTGGGCGACGGAAAGGAATGAGGAGGGGCGAAAGAGGCGTCTCGCGAAGGCGACTGGAGGGGAGGGAGCGTGATCGCACGTCGGGAAGGAAGCGTGAGTGACGGGAGGGAGTGCTCATCCTCTAATGAGGGGTGTGCGCGAAGGCGACGGGAGGGGAGTGCGCGAAGGCAACGGGAGGGGAGTGTGCGAAGGCGACGGGAGGGGAGTGCGCGAAGGCAACGGGAGGGGAGTGCGCGAAGGCGACGGGAGGGGAGTGCGCGAAGGCGACGGGAGGGGACTGCGCGAAGGCGACGGGAGGGGAGTGCGCGAAGGCGACGGGAGGGGATTGCGCGAAGGCGACGGGAAGGGAGTGCGCGAAGGTGACGGGAGTGGAGTGCGCGAAGGCGACGGAAGGGGAGTGCGCGAAGGCGACTGGAGGGGAGTGCGCGAAGGCGACGGGAGGGAAGTGCGCGAAGGCGACGGGAGGGGAGTGCGCGAAGGCGACGGGAGGGGAGTGCGCGAAGGCGACGGGAGGGGACTGCGCGAAGGCGACGGCGACGATATAAATGGACGAAAATCTGTGCAAGGCGGAATGCTCTACCCTGGACAGAGAACCGGGCGCGGCTAGGAACAACCGCGACATCGATGCGCCTGGCGAAGGGGCAGTGAAACGGCGGACGACTATGGGCATATGCGCGTGAATGGGCATGGCTAGCTACGTGCAGTGAAAACGAGATGTAAGGCGCGCGGATCAGCAAGGGCGACTGATCCCGTCGGAATGGAGGAACCCTAAACCGGCGTGGAAGTCGGCGCGGTGAATCTCTTCTAAGCTATGACTTCCCCAAGTTTGGCCCTAAACTCTGCGTTTTTTGTCGACCTGAATTACAGATTTCGAGATAGGTGAGACCCCTGCGATCCTTCCCTACGCACCCTGCGACTTTCCTCACGTTTTGAAGGTGAGACCTGGTAACCACCCTGGTTCGGGAGGGGAGGTGGTTACACCTCCCAACTTTTTTTGTAATTCAGGCTGCGGGTTTTAAAGCTGTCGCCTACATACTTCCTGCGGGAGGACTTGGTTTATCACTTGAAAACCTGGTAGCAGAGGGCTGCGCTCCAACCTTGAGTGGCAAGATGCAGTAACTGCTTGGAGACAACCCAACCCCCCCTCTGAAAATTGGCCTGCTCAGGATTGGCTTACAGTTTTCGCGCCAATCTCCTCCCCAACCTCGATTGGTTGCAGGTCGTGGCGAAATCGCCAACACAACCCTCTCCTCCCGAAATATTACCCCCCAACCAAACCTTTCACGAAACTGGTGGGATTCGCCAGTTCTGTTTGAAACATTCGCTCCCTCATTTCTGGAAAATGGTAGTTTCGTTCCCCAATCAGCATCTGTCCTAGGGTGTGCACCCAAAATGCCCCCAAAAAATACCTTTTAGTATGTAGACTGCAGCTTTAAGAGAAGGGGCACCTAGAGGAAGTTAGGAATGGTGGAACTAAGAAAGGGTGATAAGGACGTGGGCCCAATCGACTTTGATCGGCGCGATCAGAGGCGATCAAGAACTTCGAGGAAGGCGGGAAGCAGATTTCAGGCAATCAGGGGCAATCAGCTGATCGCGCCAACTCAATCAACCGCCTCAAACAGCCCGATCAGACCCGATCAGACACAATCAGCCCCAATCACTTGATTGCATGTGATCGGCGACCTGGGCGATTTACACGAAATGTAACACAACTCGCCATGAGGTCTCGAAAATCCTTGCGAATACACCCAGATCGGCGAGAACTGAGTGTTGGGACATGATGTTGGCGACATTACCACGATACTGAGATTCGTCCGTGTCGCCAAAGTTGGGATGCAACTACCAGGTAATGGGCTGACAGTTTTCATGCAAGAGCACGAAACATTCGAGGAAAATCATCTCTGATCGGGCGGCGCGAGAAAAACGATCACAAGCAATCCGATCCGACCCAAACCGATCCGATCAGAGCCGATCAAAGTCGATTGGGCCCACGTCCTAAGGAGAGAACAACTGTGGACAAATGTCATGCTGGGTTGACATCACAAAGCACCCACGATATCGTGCGAACTCCTACAATCCAATACGATTCGTCGTTGGGCTCCCTTTACCCACCAACCCACCAAAGGAATGTATGGAAGCCTGAGGTCGTCTCGTGAACTTGAGGACACCCTAGCTCTGCGAAATTGTCCGCGTTAGCAGTGTAACCAACTTGGCAGAATTCTTTCCTACCCGATTGTCCTTCATGTGCGCCTGATGCTCACCGCTTTGCAAGTTACGCAAGCTGGAGATCAACTCGTGCACCTCCACCTTGACATTTTCCCTCGCATTTGCTTTCGCCGCCATTTTAGCTCCATGTGGCGGCAATCTCACGGTGGCGATGTCACGGTATTTGTAGTGCATCTGTAGTTAAGGCCACTTGGAAAGCCGGCTTTGTGTGGAAGCCAGACACCGTTAGGTCTTCATGATTACCTCTGCTGGATCCGTTGATGTAACGTCAAATTTGGATGTCGTATCTGGAAAAACAATGATGTAGGGGCTAGCACGCGCTATCCTAGAAAGTTATGGAATTTTGTACGTACACCTGGTGAACAGAATCTTGATCAGCCTGATGCCGGCAATCAAGAGAACCGCACGGCTGGACCGTCCATCCCGGGCTGCTTTGGGGTTCGGGCGTTCGTTAGAGCGTGGAACATCCTTGTGAACAAGTGTCCCGTCGGCTCTCTGGTCGAACATTTGTCTCGTCAATGGTTTTCGTCAGGTAACACGCAAAACCCCATATCCCAAGTTGGAAACACTTGGTCGCCTAGAAATACGGAGTCGCGATGATACACGAAAGCGCCTGCTTCGTCAAACACCGTGCTGCAAATTGGGTCGCAGCACGTCACTCACGACAACACCTGGTTTCATTTCGCATGTTTTTCCTGAAGTCGCCACTTCTTGTCTTATCTGCGAGGTTCAATGGGTGGGGCGACCAACAAGCATAAGCTGTGGAACGTGCGTTCTTCAGGCAGTCTTCGTCAGTCTGCTTCGTAGGTCAATGGCGATGGTCGCAACAATGATTACTGTCGCTGTTGGGCGACCATCGCCTTGTTCAAAAGGATGTTCCACGCTCTTAGCGCTGCTTGTGCTGCTCGCTCGGAGCGCTCTGAATTATGGATAGAGTACCCTTACTGTGCTCTGGGACTGCGTCAGCTTTTACGTCACAGATGTGACTGGGTACGCCAATCGCCATCATGGAGCGGTGCCCTGTCTACTGTGAGGGGACTACGGCATGCCCCCAGGAAAGTCTACTACGGTCGCCAGCCGCACGAATGCCCCACCGTGGGGCATCGTGTAACGTGCTTTCCTTCCATTCGTGTACCCCGCCTTCGCCGAACGAGGTTATCCTTTCGGTTAAGGCTGCTACTTATAGAAGTGGTAATCCCTTCTTGAGTAAGTCACCAGCTAGTGCATCCGTAGACCATTTGAGAAGTTACTGCTTTTTTTTTTCATCCAGATCGTGTGAACAGTCCACTGATACCACCACAGCCATGGAGGACCCTAGCAGCGCGGTCCCGCTGCCGTTTCTTGACTTGCAGTGCTCGTCAAAGTGTCCCGCGGACTGCGACGGAGTACACATCTCCTGGAAGGCGAACGAAACGGGGGAGAAGGTGCAGCGGACCGCAGGAGCGACTGAATGGGAACCTGCCGCTGCTCGACTGCCATTGGGAGCCCGCACGACCGAGCAGACGTCCCGTTCCACAAAACAATCGCTGCCGCCATGCGTCACGCACAGCAGAGCTGCAGAGACAGTGCTTGATTCGTTCCAGGTGGAAGCTTGGCCTGATAATGTCATGGCGTCGATTTCTGAGGTCGGATTGCTCCATGTGGGAGCCATGACGAATGTCAGCATCTCAGAAAGCGGAGGATACGTCAGCCGCATGCTGACCCAGCCTTCACTAGTCGATCTAAGTTTCACGCAGATGGCGGCATCAGCTGTTATTCCCTCACCTGTTTCACCCCAATCGGTTGCGGTGACTTCACCTGCTGCCGCACTGCCTATGTGTGAGTCTCCTCAGAAATCTACTCCAGCGCCTGCTTCAGCCCGTCATCAGATCCATCCGGTGCTGATCACTCCAGCTGCTACTGCATGGCCCATCTGTGAGCCGCCTCGACAACGTATGGCAGCACCTTCTGCACCCCATCGTCTCATCCACTCGCTGCTGCTGAGCACTCGGGGTGCCATTCCCGCTCCTCCTCCTTCCCCTGCTGCCTCTGCTGCTGCTCCTGCTACATTGTCTGTGAACGTGCCCAGTGCGACTTTTCAGTCTCATTTTCTCCAACAGGAAGCGCCACTATCGCTGAGAACAGCGCAAGCAACACGGGCGCAATCGTCAGGATGTAGCACGCGAGGCGAAACCCCAGCACCAACCCGTGAGGGAACCCTGTACGACATGATTGCATTGGGAGGATTCAAGCGCAAGGGTTCCGCCACCTGGTGGGGTGGTGGTGATTCGATTGTTGAGGCCCCAGCCATGCTGTTGGGTCAACTACAAAACGGAGCGTCGAATGACGTGGTTGTGTCGGGAAGATTCAAGCGCAAGGGTTCTGCCACCTGGTGGGGCAACAATTCGATTGCTGAGGCCTCGGCCATGCAGCCTCAGAAGAAGCAGTGTTTGGTGGTGGGTGGTGATGGAGTGGGTTTCAAGCGCCCTGACAATGGTTCTACCATGTCAGTCTCTCCCGCAGCCGGCAGTCAAGCGTCTGCTCCACTATACTCCTGGGCACAGCTAGCTCCAATCCCTGCCGTTGGATCTACCGTACGCATCGCCGGCTCTGCTGCTGTGAGCCATCCACCTGCTGCTGCGACTGAAGGGGCAAGAGTGTTGGATCCATTGTCGGCATTGTCAGTGGCTTCACAAGGGGCAGCCCAGGCAGCAGATCTTGCACAGCCAACCCAGAAGGACCAAGTGGATGGCAGTGGGCTGGGCTTGGAGCGCCCGCCTATTCAACGCCGGAGCGCTGCAGAGAAGCTTAGAAGACACCGAATCAGGTAAACACAACTTTGTGCGAATTGGTTTAACTGTTCTTATCACGAATTGGTTTGTCAAAGATTAAGATGGTTATCTTGTGCCTCTGCTGCCCCCCATGTACTGTTCGGCAGTGCCGGATTCAAGCGGCTTGAAAAGGTTCTGCCTCCCTCGTGGATGCGCCAGAAACATAAGTCAAACCTGTCATCCCGAACAGACATGGCGACGATGTTAGCTTCTGCTGTGGACTTCATTAGGGAGCTGGAGGTGAGGTCGGCTTGCTGTGCGCATTTCAATGCTTTTGGTGCTTGTTTAGCGCTAAGTTGCTGGTGTTCCTTTTCTGCACTACTGTGGTGGTTTACAGGACCGTAAGGCCCAGCTTGCACAAGCTTACACTCAGCAAGTACGATCACGACTTTGCCAAGACTCTGGTAATGGTACGGTAATACCGGAATATAGTGCTTGCTCTCATGCACAATAACTGGCAGCTAGGTATGTGTGATACGGTATATGTACACTTGGAAATCACTAGGTATACCTTGTTTATGCACTGTACAAGTGGAACACTCAGCAGCGCTCAAAAATCTTGTAGAGGTTCTCAAGTGACGCTATCTGCAGCCACAACAAACCAGGAACGATACGGCAGTCAGTTTCAGAAGGCCACACACGCACGTGTCACCGCAAACACAATAACTGCTGCAAAAGCATGCTATGGTGCTGTGGTTAATTCCAACAAATGGGACCGCAGAAGAATGAAGGAATACCATTCATCCCTAGCTTGCCCAATGGCAGCAGAGCAAGGCGATAGCGTCTCACCTTGATGAAGCTGCCATCCCTGGCCATGCGCTTGGGTGGCTTGAGGAAGAACTTGAGTGCGGGCAGCAGCACATGCTGAATGCTCCACTCCCATTGCCGCCACATCGCCTCCACCTCCACCTCACTCATCCCCTCCTCACTCCCACCTTCCTCGCTCACTCCCACTTCACCCCCGCCTGCTATAGTCACAGCAGCTGTCGATGCAGCCACATCAGCCCCCCTACCGCCCCGAGCACTCTCCTCATCCCCAGCCTCTTCTGAACCCCGCACTTTCCATTCCTTGCTCGCATCCCCGTCCTCCTCTCCCCTCACCTGCCCACCTCCCTCCCTTTCCTCGCCATTCGTGTCCTTTCTTTGCTGGTTGGCGGAGGGGCGGGGCAGCAGCGGCGCATGGAAAGCAAAGAAGTCGGCCAGTGCAGCAGCCAGGGAGGCAAAGCAGGCCTTCTCCTCGTCCCACTCCACCTGCACGTGTGGACAGACCATGGTGAGGAGGAACAGGAAAATGCAGGAATTCGATCCATGCAGGAGAGTGTGAAAGCAGTGAGGGAGAGGGTGAGTGTGAGTGAGTGATCATGCGCGGTGCAGACAAAATCCAGGGAAGGGGCACGCGAGCGAAAGACCGGAGGAGGCTGGGGATGACACTCGCGAAGCAGTGAGGCAGCGTGAGCAGTGAGGCAGTGGAGCAGTGAGGCAGTGGAGCAGTGAGGCAGTGGAGCAGTGAGGCAGTGGAGCAGTGAGGCAGCGTGAGCAGTGAGGCAGTGGAGCAAGCAAAATGGCGAGACTCGCGTGCACCTCATTGGCAAGAGCGAGCGCGAGAGATGGCAGGCGCGTGAGGTCGGGCGTGTGGTGGTCGAGCAGCAGGGGCAGCGAGAGCAGATGGCCGTCCGGGGAGACGGTGAGGGCGAAGTACTCTGCTAGCATCTCCGCCCTGCCTTGCACCGCCTGCACCCACGCCTGGTGCACGCAGGGGAAGTGGGGACGGAGGTGGGGGGAGGGAAGAGGAAGCGGAGGGATCAGTGAGTGGGAACACCTTGGAAACATCTGGATAGTGGCCCTGCGTTGGGCTGGAGCAGGTGCACTGATGCATGGTGAGCGGTGTGAGGGGGAAGGGAGAAGGGCCGACTCAGATGAGTGAGAAGAGTGTGACAAAAAGCAAAATTCAGCGTCAGATAAGTGTGTGTCTATTCTGGCAGCCTGGCACGACACTCAGCTCCAGCAGACCGGGAAGTTGTCTTGGAAGAGAGGTGAGCTTTGGGGCGACTGAGGTTGGATGGGAGGTGGATGGGAAGTATTGTGGTGTGAGAGGCATGGCATGTGAGTCGAGTGGGACACACTGCGTTGTGATGACGTGCGGGGTGTGGAGAGGCAAGGACGAGGCAGAGGCGGCACCAGCACAAGTAGAATGCAAGGAGAGGAGAGAAGAGGAGGGGAGAGAAGAGGAGAGGATGGAATAGGAGAGGATGGAATAGGAGAGGAGACGAGAGGAGAGGAGAGGAGAGGAGAGGAGAGGAGAGGAGAGGAGAG